GTAGAGTATATAAAGAGCTTTTAAAAATTAGATCCCCCAAAATAAGAGCTCCAATAACAAATAGGTAATTGAAATGAATAGATACTTCTCTGAAGAAGTACAAAGAACTCCCAAAGTTAGGCAGGGAACCTGGGGAGGGAGGGAGAAGGGAAGGCAGCAGGAGAGGGGGAATACAAATGATCAAGATACTGTGTGTATATATGGGTCACTTCACCAAGGTAAAGGTAATTACTATGTATTGTATACATACACTAATAAAATCAACCAATAAATAAGAAAATAGAAGAGTAGTGTATTAGTCTGATTCTCATTACTACCATGACATGCTTGGGGCTAAGTTCCTTTATAAAGACGAGAGGCTGATTGAGCTCAGTCTGGAAATTGATGGCATGGGGTCGGTGTCTGCTCAGCTCTGGCCAAGGCCCTGTGGGGCGACAGCATAACAAGTGGAGCACTGTGGGAGCGAAGGTTGAGGGCAAGGCAGGAAGCCACAGGGAGAAATTTGGGAGTCAGGCTTGTAACGTGGCTCTTGTGAGGACAGACTTGCGTACCACAAGAACCTCTTAACTCCTTCCAAGGGCAACCCCTGGGGAGCTAGGGACTGCCATTCACACCAGCACACCAAGGGCCAAGCCACCATTACTTGAAGCCTGGGAGGACAAACCACACCTAAACCAGAGCAGGAAGGATGGCTCTAGTATACAAGCAAAACATGAAAAGAATCTCAGAAGTCACGCTACACGGACCTTTTGGAACATCTAATGTACTTCAACACAGGAAGGGGTATTGATTCCCAGCAAAAATCCTGGCCCTGAATCTCTTGACACATGCACAAGCCTGGGTCAGAGCTGGGTTTTCTGACTAGCTCACCTTCTGCCTCTGAGGGGAAGAAGAGGAGTTTGCTACATACAGAGCAAGATGAGCTCAAAGGCACCTGCTAAACTGTTCTCCTGGGCATCTCCTTTGACTCAGACTGCCAGGGTTTCAGCAGTCCCAGTTCCCAAGCCCCTGGCTTGAATTATGGGTCTGGTACATCTGGGACCCTCAGGAACTCCTCAGGGATCCCAGTGCCACATGAATAGCAAACGCAGAGTGAGGGTGTAGCAGTTCCTCCTCAACCAGAGGATCCCTCTGCTTGTGAGGCTGAAGAGCGACTGGATGGAAAGTTGGACAAGATCTTATGAAGCAAATTTGTGTTCCAAAGAAGGGTACCCACACTGGGAAGCCACAAAGTGGGGGCATGAGGTGAGCATGTTTCCCACATGGGGCTTGGGGCATCATGAGAAGCCCTGTGCGGTAGACACCATGGTGAGCACGCATGTGCAGATCTCTTAGCAGCAGGAACACAGCCCAGCATGACAACATCTGGGCTTCGGGCGCACACCCATCACTGGAGCTTAAGGCAACTGACTTGTGACTCAGGCCACCAACACCAGGCGACAGTGACTGGCTGGTGTGCAGGGCTAGCTGCTCTGGCTTCCTGTGTTGGGTCAGGGCAAATCCATGGTACAGTGTCTTCACCAGCATCCAAGATCACACAAAACTATGCCTGGACTAGAGACACAGGCATCTCCTGTCCCTTCTCCTGCGTACCTCACTCCCCCCATAATTTCCTGCCCCTAGATCTTTCTCAAGTGGGAAGGGAATCAAGAGATGGAAAGAGGGAGATGAGGGAATGGGGATGAACAAAGGGACTGAGAAGACCTGTGTACGTGGTGTTCCAACTCCTCCCAAAGAATGTGAATAGTATGCATTTACTCTAAACAGGCTAATGAAGAAAGTGCCGCACTCCTCTAAGTTTGTTAACTTCCAGGGCTGGATTCTGCATCCCTCAGGCAGTCCACTCTGCCTTCCACAGGTTTCACTTGTTTTCTAATCCACCAACACAACCTTCTTGAATGTGCTTCCAAGTCCACTTCAGTTCTGCAAAGAGAAAGATCAATCCTGTAATCAGAACAAATTAAGCTGGAGGCCCTGAACTGACATTGCTTCTGTCAGAGCCCAGTACCACAGGCACCTACTGGCACTTTCCTGGCCCTCCCTGAAAGGGAACATTGCCCTAATTCACTTGTCTGCGTGTGCCTGGAGTTGAGTTAGGAATCTGCAACTCATGCAGGAAGGACAGATCTTGAGGCATGTGATAGAAACAAGGAACCAAGATGGAATCTAGGGAAGAACTTGGTTTCCTGGTCCTCTCGGGATGCAATGCATTGCCATTGCCCTCAGTTGGACAATGTTGAAGAGAGCTCAGGTGGGGCAGTGGTCCAGGAGCTAGGCAGGGAGGGGCTTGGCCCCTCACCCACAGACACAGTGGGTGGGGCCCAATAGCCAGATCAGCTCTCTTAGGCTTCAATATTCCCATGTCCTGAACTATTCCCATTCCAAGCTCTTGGAACTTTCAAACATTTGGGCCATGCTTTGGCAGCCCCTAAGGAGCAGGAGAGAAGAGGGTGGGTGGCCAAGGAAGGCTCAGTCTGCACCTGGCCTGAAAGGCCAAGGAAAGTGCTACTGGGGGAGGGGAAATCAGGCGACCCAGCAGGCTCCTCAGTGACTTTCCTCTGTGGCCCTTTCTTATCCCAATTCACAGGAGGAAACTTGGCCATCCAGGGAAGACTGCCTGGGTAAACAGGAACACAGAACTATAAGGCCACTGGGGCTATTTTTGCACTCCTCTCTCTCTCTGGACCAACTGCTTTTTGAGGGGCAACCTGGCTAGAACGCACCTGCTCTCGGGGGAGGCTCCTTAGCCACTGGTTGAAAATCAGGAGTGCTCAAGGCTTTGGAAAAGGAGCAGGAGGTCCTTTGAGACATTAACCCTTAGAGCAGAGCCCACAACCTAGCCAAGCCCCCAGTTCTGGAGGTGCCCTCACACCTCCCTGAGGTGCAGACAGGGCCCCCAACTCAACACAGCTGCCACTGCACCAGCATATTTCTTTGAATTCTCCATTTCATGTTGAATATTCAAGTGGGTTTTGCAGTCAACCCCATGCTGGTTTTACAATATGAATGAATGGTCTGAGAAGTGGGACAGGCAGTGAACCCGCTAAGAATATGAGGTGCTGCAACCCTCTGTTTTGGTTTGCTTATTTGTCAGAAGGGGAGGAAAATATTATCAACCTCATAGGCTGTTGTGTTGACTAAGTTAGGACAGGACAAATTCCTGCAAGTGTCTGGGGTACATGAATATTTTGGGATGTTACCATGGCCATTTCTCTACTGATGTGTCTACAGACTTCAGAGGTTCATTTTACTGACTCCTTATTTCCTGATACCTGTTTTTGAATCAGTTTACCATACTGAGCACCCGGGCCATATGAAAATAAGATACTGTGTTTAATATTTTGGTTGAACAAATAAGAGCAGAAGCTTATGGGAACTGTCTTAGTTACTTTTTACTCGTTGCTGGGACAAATACCCGACACTCAAAATGAAGGAAGGAAAGGTTTATTTAGCTCACAGTTACTGGAGGGTTCAGTCCATATTCCGCTGACTCCAAAGCAAACAACAGCAGTTCATGCAGCAGAAAACAATGAAGAGCAGAGGAGGAGCAGCAGCTGCAGCGGCCTCCATCAAGCCTCTCTCTTCCTCCTGCGCTGACTGCAAGGGTCAGCGCTCCACAGTGAAGATCGGAGTTCCTCCAAAGTGGCGAGGCTGCTGAGCTCAAGCTCCTTCGAAGACTGGGACTTCTCCACGGAAGCGGGGCTGGGCAGCAGGAAACCAGGAAGGGTGGCTTCCTGCCTTTCTCAATTCCTGGGCCCTGCCCACCTGCGGGGCTTGGCCCCCATGCTGAGATCCGCCAGAGCTGATTCAGCCAAGTTGACACAATGTATCAACTAACACAGGAACCTAATTTTCTTTCCTATAAAAGGACTGGCTCAGTACTCCCACTATTTGTGCAATTCTGCGTACTAAGTCAGGTTCCTGAAGAGAAACCAAGGTGCACAGGTGCGTTGTCCCTTCCAGCTGCCGCTGCGACCTACACACTGACCTGTCCTTTGGTCTCTTCACAAGGTCCCAGCCAGTTCGTCTGGAGGAAAGAGGGTCTTGGAGACCCCTACTTGACCAGTGTGAGCCCGCTGAGGAAGAGGAAGGCCAGGAGCAGGCGAGGGAGGTGGGCAATTTCTCATGCTGGTGCACGCCCACCAGCATCTGGATGCGCCAACGCTGACAGGGCAGTAGAGAGACCGTGAGGGGTGCAGTCTGTATTCCATGGAGAAGCAGACGAGGGTGCAGTCCTGGCTTCTTCCCTCACCCTGTAAATTATAAATCCTTCAAGGAGCCTCAGACTCGTCCTGGATGACAAGGGAGAGTGCTGTGAGCCACTGAGGTGAAACATAGGAACACCAGGAAGCCCTGGGCACGATGCCACGAACCCCCAGGACTCCCCTGGCCCAGGTTCATAGCCAAACGTCTCACTTCCCGACCTCCCCGTAGTCTACAGCTCCACGAGGCACCTCGCCCTCCTCTCTGCCCCTGACGCTCTTGCCTTTACTGCCAACCCCGGGCTGGGGCTCTGAGCGGTCCCCGCCACGGTGACGCTCTACACCCCAAGCCCGCGGTCCTCGGGCGCCGCTGTGCCAGGTGTCCCTGGTCTCACCGGCCGCGTGCTCGCTGGCTGGGGACCGCGGCTGAGGTGCGCGGGTCTCCTTTGGGGTCCGGCTGGCTCAACGCCCCGGACGCCGGCCTGAGGCTCCAGGCGAGCCCGCAGAGCGGGCGGGGCGAGGCCCGGTAGCTGGCCCCGCGCCGGCGGCTTCCAGGCAGCGGGCGGAGGCGCGT